AAAAAAAAGAATCATTAGATGTGATATCTGTAAGGTGGAGCGGGCACCATGGTCTTTGAATGGGGTGTGACAGGCTGGCTGCGATGCTGGGGGCATCAACCTCTTGGCACTAGTCCTGGCAGAACTGCCGAGGTTGCATCTGAAATCTGGACGGAGGGGGTCAGTCTCTGGCTATGCAGAGCCAGGGTGGGAGTCTCTCTGTCCCTTTGGGGCACACAGGTCCCTCTCTGACTCTGACTGAGATACAGCTCTTGCAAAGCAAAACTTACCGCCTTGATGTGGCCATCTCCCCATCACCTAGGAACACATGTTGAGCCACCCTGGTGCCAGGAGAGGGGAGTGACACTGGGCCCAGGTCTCTCTTGGCCTTGGTGGCTGCCATACACCCCCAAATGCCAGACAGGCTTTGGCCATACCATAAGGGCAAATTAAGGGTCAACCGTGATGGTCTAATCTGAAGCTGGTGTGACCTGGCCTTGAGAGTCAGGAGACCCATGAGGTCCACCTGCACTGGAGCAAGGGACAGGCTCTGCCAAGGCCAAGCAGCATTTCCAACCTGGAACCAGAGGTTCCTGGAGTGGGATGGAACCAGGTCAGGGAGCTCCCAGCAGGTCCAGCACCCACTGGACTTTCCTACTTGACCCCTCCCGCCTCATCCGGATTCCCACTCCTAGGGCTCCCCAGGAGCAGGCCTTTTTGTGCTTGGGAAACGTCCCCAGATGTGCACGTCCTGTGAAATGGTTTTACTGTGGTAAAAAAATAGGTGACATAGAAGTCGCCATTTACACGTCCACTCACCACCTCTAATTGCAATCAAGTTTTTTTTTTTTTTCCTGGTGCTAGGAATTGAACTCAGGGGGGTCGATAAGTACATGGCTACCCTAAACCCCAACCCCAGGTTGGCAGCTCTGCCCTAGAAGCACACTTTGCTGCTCTTACCTGGGCTTCAACTGGGATCAGACTCCTTCAAGGCCCAATTTGCAGGCCATTCAAGAGCCATCCCTCTTGGACAACCAGCACATCCAGCAGTGACCCCATGATGGCTGCTTGGCCAGCCAGAAGCAACCTCCACCCTGTTTCAGCCCCACCACCTGGGGACCGAGGACCCCCGAGCCCTCAGAAGGCACCACTCCTTGCTGCTCAGGTACCTCTTGGTGGCAAGCAGTCTCTATGGTCTCAAGAGGGGAGTTCCACTCCAGAGCAGAGGCTCCATCTCTGGCTTGAGAGAGGTTGAGTGCTGGGCCCAGCCCACCCTACCCTCCCAGGCCGCTGTCCACCTGCCCCACACATGCGCACAGGAGCAGACCCTCAGTGTACTGTAGCACTTTATTTTTCCTTACTCAATTAAGTGTTGCTGGGGCCTAATGTTCTCACATAACAGTAGAAAACCAAAAGTTTTGTCATCTGGTAAAGAATTGAGTACAAAAAACCTTACATAAATTAAAATGAATAAATTTACAGATGTAAATGCAAACCGTTTCCAACTCAAGGCAAGTAATAACCAATGGTGGTCAGGCGGGAGAACATTGGTAAGAACGGAAACTGGGTCCTAAGGCTCGGACTTTC